TTCATGTTTTGTTGTTTCTTTTTTCTCTTTCCGTCTTCCCAGCATTTCTTCTTCTTCTTCTTCTCCTCTAATATTTCACTGCTTACAAATCACTCCGGATCAGTCTGTCAGCTAAGTGGCTAAAATGTTTACTCTCTCTTCATTTTCGCTCTCTCCAGACCACAGAAATATGCAACAACTAAGTGAGCACGAAGAGCGAGATAAACTGATAAAGGAGGGAGTGATAGTGGAGGAGGGGTTGGAGAGACAGAGCTTTATCTCACTGATGTACAGCACAGAGCAAATATTATGAGGTGACAGAGAGACAGAGTTATAGTGGTCCCATGCTTCACAGGGGTATTAAGTGTCCCCCTCCTCTTTCTCTAAACATCTTGCCAACTCTCCCATCGCCGCCATAAAACAGTTTGAAGGTCTCTTTGTTCTACTTCTCCGATGTTTTTTGTGTCCTTTAAAGTCTTCTGCTGTCAAGCCTACATCTCTTCTCCTCTCCTCTGCACTGATTGGCTGGTTGGGTCGCAGCCAAGCGGTAGAGGGTGGAGACCTATGCTGTCCTGGCACTGTGCGTGTTGGTGTGTGTGTTAGGAGGATCAGTTTCCTATATGCCGTCATCATGTGCCATTTGATAGGAGCCGTGATTGGTCATTTGAGACATATTTAGCTGTGGTGATCTTTAAAACGCACACGCAGGCGCGTCACAGGAAAGGAGTGGCGCTCTCTTGATTGTTTAGTTGCCCTTTCATATTTTTCTAATCTTAAGAAAATGAATGGAGGAGAGTGGCAGGACAGGAGGGAGGAGGGGAAGTGAAAAGTCAATCAAAAAAATGTAGGAAGGAAAGGAGTAAGTAAACAAGGGACTAATCAAATTGCATTAACGTTTACCGTATTGTGTTTAGTAACTAAAAATAGACTAACCTAATAACTGTTGTTGCATCAAAACTACCCATGCATGCAACTGCAGCACAACACAAAGATCACCCTTAAGAAACTGTGAAAGAAATCATTTTATTCAAAGCAATAGTTTGCTATAATTAGCTTTCTTGCAGAGAATTACTAACATGACTACGCCAGATGTTTTATTACAAAGAAACATCTGGGATGTTGCTGTTGGAAACCTTTTAGAAAAGGAACTTTCAAAACACACTCAGCAGGTGACTGGATGCTCTGTTTATCACCGTATCATGCAAACTTCAACCAATCATATTAAGGAACCATATAACATAGCCAAACTCTTACTGAGGCCAGTCAGGAGAAAACCCTTCAGTGCTGTTCTTCACTCTTATTTCAATGAAGAAATACTCTCCAGTTCTTCGTTAACCTCTATGGGAGCAGCCATTGTTGGTTAAGGAACATTGTCCTTAGGTTGCGTCACTGCCAGTACTTCCTGTAAGGACGCTGACTGGTCTGGTACCAGTGTAGTTTGGCCACAAACATATAAATTAAAGCCTGGGGAGATGGATTCTCGTGTGATATCGCAAGTCCAGCTGTCTTGCAAGCTTAGAGAGTTAGATGAGAAGATCAATTCCACTCTCCTATCTATCAGACTAATATAAGGCCACAGCTAGCAGCCGGTTAGCTTAACATGATGACTGGAAACAGACAAAACAAGTAGCCTGACTTTGACTTCTAAAAGTTAATAAAATCCACCTGCACCTCTAAAGCTCACTAACAATGTCTTGTATTGTTAAAGTGTAAAAATGACAAGTTATGGTTTTCAGTTTCAAAGAAACTTTACCTTGTTGCTTTTAAACTTTTGTACAGATTCGATGAACAAAATAAGTTAATTAGTGAGCTCTAGAGATGTTGGTGCGGGGGATTGGTTATCTCTTTCCATCACATTCAGATCAGTGTTTCTGTGGTTGGTAGCAGGAAAAAAATGATCTAACCTAAAACATCTAACACTATGGTGTTGGTATCGCTTTGTTAGAACCAAACCTAGACTTAATAGACCAGACTGCATTGCACCAGCAAATATGCTATGTTTTAAATAAAGGGTTTCTCAATTAGAAACTCTATCGGCTATCTGTCCATATGAGCGCAATATGTTCACAACATTTTCACAAGTGGTAACTGCATTCTGGGAAATGTAGGAAATCACTAACTAAGGAAGAAGTACTTGAGGCAGGCTGAGGGAAAGTTCTTCAGTCCACCAAAAACAGCAAATTGAAGTAAATTGTAGCACTTTATCACAACATGACTCCTGGAAAACTCTCACCCAGACTCATTTGGAGCAATAATGAGCCTGCAGCCGAGTCTGAAGTGATAAATGGAGTGAGCTGTGTTTGGGCTTAGCACTAAGAGATGAATGGAGCGCTACAGCTGCCATGACTAGCTAAATATTACACACTGAAACACACAGATACACACACGCTAACTGAGCAGAAGGCCGGAATATGTTAGGAATGTGCTCTCACAGATGACCGACCTTCACACGTACACGCGCACCACGTTGTGTGCTTGAATACACAACTATGTGCAAAAACATGCACATATCACTTTCACGTTCTTACACTTTTCTGATCACATGATGACACATTTGTACTCATCTTGAGTGAAGATTTGCTCGTGAAGATATGTTCACGCTCCTGTGTCACATGCATCTATTATTGTGCTTTCCCGCACACACATGCACACACCTACACACACACTCACATACACCCTGTCTTGCTCAACAGGTCAGGATGTTTCACAAGTCAGGACCTGCATGTTGAAGATATGCCTGTCTTTATATTGCTGTGAATGTGTGTATTTGAGTATGTGTGTGTTTTACATTACAAGCCAGTGAGAAAATGTTAACTGTCAAAGACACACACTCTCACACACTCGCGCACACGCACACACACACATACACACACACAGGCGGAGACAAAGTTGAAGTCTCATTACTGTGGTCTCCAAGGAGTCACCATGGCAATGGCAGAATGAAACCATGGCCTGTGGGAGAGGAAGTGTGTGTGTGTGT